TAGTTTCCAGTTTGCTGTGCAGGAAAGCATTTAAGAAAACCGTTCATGATGTCATAAGAAGATTTAAATAAAGAATTAAGTCACCACAGCTGTGCCACATGCATAAGTTGTGAATAGCCTCTCTCAATGCAGAGACACATAGTGATGTTGCTGTGTGATGATCTCAGCAATTTAATAAAATCAAAGAAGTTAGATTCTACATATACTGGTTAGTGTGAGACAGTGTCTGAAAGCGGATGTTTCCAGCCAGAACTAAGAAAGACAGAGGTCAAGTGTTTAACTATTGACTGTATCTATTCTAATTTTACTGGCAAATCTGACCTTGGTATGGCAATGATCTCAGGAAGAACGATGTCTTTGTCTGCAGATGTAATAAATTATTGGTTCAAAGTGAAAATTTTCAGTAATCATAGGCTCCTAACATATCTAACATATCAGAATATTGCTTTTTCCCATCATAAAACTGATAATCAAATGGAGCGAACAGTTGTAAGTACTGAAAATGCCATACTATGAGTTAATGTTAAACAGGCTGATAAAGGTTCAGATTAGTATCATATGACTCAAATCCTGTGAACTGTACATGTAAGCCTTAGAATGTATTGAAAGTTAATACAATAATACAAAGAATATACACGTTTCACAGAAATTACTGACTATACTGTATGAACTGAATACATTACATTGTATAGATTATTCACTGTGCTGTAATGCTGTTTTCATTTTTTTATCATAAATCAAACAGAATGACTGCAATAAACACTGTGAAATAAAACATTCATTCAAAAGTGAGGAAGATTGCATGGTGTGTGGTTAAATCAATATAAAACAATGTAAAACTACAATACAATGAGCATACATTCAAATAAGACGATACCAAACATTTTGAAAAAAGACAACTTAAACAAAAAGACACAATATACAGTAAACGTGTAGCAATAACACAAAAATGCTCTTTTGGAATGGCCATCATAAGCTTTGAAAATATTAAGTATTATGATATTCTGATAACTAAAGCTACATATTATATTAATGCTTGTTAAATTAGTCAGTAAGAGATTATACTTTAATTGGTGCTACACTATCCAAGATTCAAAGCCAGTATAAAATGTAATACTTGTGTACAAGTTCTTGTATTTGATGCAATGATTTTATTAACAATTCTATTTATATATATCGAATTCTTTGGTTTGTAACCTCTGATCTACTGTCTGTGTGTTTTTGGAATGTCTGTACTTGGTCTTCTGCATTCATAAAATGTAAATTTAAAAAATGTCTTTGTCTGCATTTGTAATTTTTACAGTCTGGTTGAAACATGATCCACATCTTCAGCTAGAAGAGAATTTGGGATATCACTGAAATTTTCACCTTCTGCCCCTTCACTCAGTATATCTACCACTGTTGATAGTGTGGCATTGGGATCCAACAGTTTCACCAAAGGCACATTTACACCTCTCTCCTGAAAGATCAAGTTCTGCAGAGTCATGGCCTGCATGGAGTCAGCGCCTAAGGATGAAAGAAGTGAGTCCTCGCTCAGTTCACTCTGTTCTATACCAATGACCTCGCTAAGCAGAGAAATGACATATTTTTTTGGTGAAACTGTGTCAGCTTGTTTAGTTTGTGAATCTATCTCCCTGGAGTTTTGGAAAGCCTCCTCCACCAGTGCAGACAGGCGCATGGTCAAGGCTGCATTTTGAGAAAGGATGTTGTACCTGATGTTTCTGAAGTGAAACCTACAAACAGCCTGTTGGGGTCGGTTGAGTGTAAGGCATTGCTCCAAGCTTTTATGAATTTCAGCCACATCCAACACCATCATCCCTTTTGCCTCCAGAAATCGATGAAAATGCTCCTTGTTCAAGAGAAGACCAAGGTTCAGAGCTCCCCAATTGATAGACTGACCTGGTAGCCCAAGTTTGCGCCTGTACTGACAGAACATGTCAAGGAATGAGTTGGCTGCTGCATAGTTTGTTTGTGATGCATTTCCTAGGAAAGCTGAGATGGAGGAGTAGCACACAAAGTAATCTAACTGACAGTGTTTTGTTGCATGGTGCAAATTCAGTGCACCATTTACTTTGGGTTTAAAAACTTTCTCATAGAGAGATCTGTTAAGGGTCTCTATCAGCCCGTCATGCAAGACAACTGCACTGTGAAACACTCCCCTAATTTGACAACTAGGGAACCTGTGGCTGATGAGACTGATAACCTTGTATACATGATCAGACACAGATATGTCACACTCCATGCTAGTGATGCTGTTTCCACACTGTTTCTCTACATTGCGTATTTCTTGCTGCACATCTGGTGTGGGCTTGCTCCTAGAGAGTATGACAATAAACTCACCTCCTCTTTGTGAGATGAACTTGACTGTTTCAAAGCCCAGCCCAGAAAGACCACCTGCCACTATATAAACTGCTCTCTTTCGGAAAAGCGTTTTTTTTGTTGGTAGCAATGGAATCTCAGACAGCGTGCCTGTGACATCTTTTTCCAGACTCACAACAGCTAATTTCTTAGAGCTGAAGTACGACTCAGGTGTCTCAGCATGAAGGCTTTTGATGCTGTCAGATTTCATGCTCTGAAAAATAAAGCTTTCAAGAGCAAATTTCCTGCTCAAGTTCAAGGACTTGAGCCAAGGATAAATATGTGGTCTTTGTGCACTCAAGGATCCCTTTTGCAAAAGGATGGGTATCTGAATTGTCTGCACGTGAACACCTTCCTTTACACTTTGGAACAGTTCCTGAGTAAGCAAATCCCACCTCTGTGTTTCACAGATAATGACAACATGTTGGACTCCTGGAAAGTTGCAAATTTTAGCAATTAGGTGTTCATCAAATGGCGGTAGGATGATGAACATATCCATTTGCTTGAAATCTACAAACGAGCCGTTGCATTGTGTGCCGACAACCACATTCCAACCTGATTTGTAAAAAGTAAGGGCCAAGACTTTCACCAGAGCAGAGTCAGGGACAGAGGATATGATTCCTAGATCCCACCTGGTTCTGGCCAAGGCTCGACGCAGGATCTCCCATGCTAGCACAAAAAAGGAAACACAGGGTGTTTTCTTAAAGAATGGGAATCGTTTGGTGCTGTAACATACACCCTCTGGAACTCTGACCTTGCTGGCTGCCACCACAGGGTAACAGGAAGCAACGTGATCTCCCACTTTGAATTTCTTGACATCTTTTCCAACTGCTGTAACAGTACCACTGAAATCAAGAGCCAGTAGCTTGTGTTTCTGAGAAGAATGTTTGTTCCAGTACAGTGTGTGGCCAAATTTCAATTGTGAAGTACTGACAGGGAAGTAATCAGAAGAATGAGCACAGATTTTACTGGGCTGAATCTCAACTGAAGTGTTGCTGATTGGCCCAGCCTCTTCATCAAAGTGAATGGCACTCAGTTGAGTAAACGTATGTGCATCTGCTGTCTGAAGGATGCAGGGACCAGACATCATAGCAGTATACCTGCTCTTAGAACTGTCAATGATTTCAGGTAGGGTATGGACAATGGATGGTTTCCAAATCAGTCTGTCTTTTACCACCAGTTCTGGGTACTTGCTGCAAGGATACGATTTTAGTACTTCAGACAGAACTGCTATGTCATATTCAGAGATCGTACCTATATCAATCAGCTGAAATGCAAGATCTGGTATCTCTGCAGCGAATGATCTCATCATGCCAGTGAGAGCAAAACCGGGACTTATGTGGTCTACAGTGATGTCTGATGAACAGTAAGTTACTGCTCTGATGGAGTTCGGGAAGTGAATCCTCTTGAGTTCAAGGACTATTTGGCGGAAAATCTCACAACAGCTCGACAAATTCTCCAGGACATCATCAGCTGCCAGTGAAGTGAGGTTTTCTTTGCCCCACAAAAATAAGACCTCATCAATGTTTTTCTCAATATCTGTGATGTTGAGATTTGCCAAGAGAGATGGAAACCCACGGCTCAAGATATCTTTTGCATGTGTGAAGGAAACATATGAAGATCTTGAATCCAAATGTTGTTGCAGGCCCTTGGAGATCCCCATATGATCAGAGAAGACCAAGGCCACAGGAGGAGGAGCAGATGTGGTCATTTTGGGGATGATACTGAAGGTATTATGGTAGAAGCACTCCTCAACCATATGAGAGTGACTGTCAAGGTACTTGATCATCACATGCTTAACCTCAACCAACACTCTGCCTTCTTTATCTGCAAAGCAACCACAAACCTCAAAGTGATCAATTCCCACATCAATTGCTCGCAGGTAGACAATCATCTCATCTTGTAAGGGTTCAAACACAGCCAGACTTCCTATTTTGGCAGGAAATCCTGGCCTACCAGCAAACATATGCTCTACTGTAACTGGGAGAAGCTGCATCAGAAAATCCAACACAACAGGATGAATGCAGTAGTCATGCAACTGAGAGCGCAGTTCTTCTTGAACTGTGACAAAAGCAAAAGCCTCCTTTAGCTCTTCTCCGTAGTGCACATCCGCCTTATTCCGGAAAATGTCTCCATACTGAAAGCCACCTTGAGAGAGATACCCATAGAACTCTTGAGAACTCACAACAGATTTGCATCTTTTTAATATGGAGCTCAGTGAAATGCACTGCACCTCAATCGGCCTCTCTTTTTTGAAAACCACTGTGCCTGATGCATAGACTGCAGCTGGGGAGAATATAGTGAAACCAGTTTCTCTCTCTGACTGTTCCAGTTGCACCTTCATTTCAGGTGAACTCTGGGTTAAAACAAATGGACTGTGAAAACTGACACTGAGCTGTAGTGAGTTGAGTGGTACTTTTGGTTTGGCACTGGCCATGACTGCGGCTAAACCCAACTCAACATAGAAGGCACCAGGGATGATAGGTATATCATTGTGCCTGTGCTCTTTCAAGTAGAAAGAAGAGTCAGGCGTCAGATTACAGCTGAAAACATTGCTTTCACTTCCTGTCTGACAGAGCACAGGATGATTACTTGCTGTGTTTTTCTGTGCTGCTCCAATGATAACATCTCTGTCTGAGCAGTCAAACTGATATTTTGGGAATGGCAGTGGCACTCTCTCATAACCTCTGTAGAAGGTGTTCCAATCTACCTGAACACCCAGCTCGAACAACTTAGAAACAACGGACACAATTGTTTTATGATCTTTCTCTGGCTGAACCGAGGTAAGGACAGCTGTGTCATTACCCAGACATTCCATGATGTTTCTCTGTAGTGCCCTTCTTGGCCCTATCTCTACAAAGACTGTATTCTTCTTTCCTTTAGCTGCCACTCTCACTGCTTCCTCAAAAGAAACTGGCTCACGAATGTTTCTAGCCCAGTATTCACCTGTGCAGAAATCTCCCTGTTGGATTTTCTTGCCTGTTACTGTTGAGAACAGTTCTGTGTCAATATTGTTTACCTGTAAGGAGCCAATTCTCTCCACCATTTCTGACAGAATTGGATCCATCATATGGCTGTGATAAGCAGCAGGGACATCCAGTTCATGAAGGAACAGATTCTGACTACTGGCTGAGATAGTTAGCTCTTCATGGATACTCTTAATTGCATCTACATCACCTGAGAGGGTGCAGGACTGCGGGCTGTTAAAAGCAGCAAGGCAAATTCTACCAGAGTAGCGAGGGAGTAAACGAGTTACCTCTGATACAGCCATGTTGCTGATCACAAGCATCTTTCCCCCAGTAACTTTGCTCTGGAGAGTGCTGCGGAAATAGATGACTTTTACTGCGTCCTCAAGAGACAAAAGGCCAGAACAGTGAGCTGCTGCAACCTCACCTATAGAGTGTCCTAGTATGGCGTCTGGCTTGACACCCCAGTGTCTGAGTAGGGTGGTAATGGCAACCTGGATGGCAAAGAGGAGCGGCTGAATAACATCTGGGTTTTTGAAGTCACTGCTCTCAAGCTCACTCTCAAGGGATTCCAGGATGTTCAGTGTACTCAAGCTTTGGAAAAGTTGCTCAATCTCTATTATCTTATTTCTGAATACAGGCTCGCGTTTTAGTAGCTGGCTGCACATGCCATGGTAAGTGACGCCATTTCCACAGAAGACGAACACTAACCTTGGCTCTAAGTAGGATAAACTGATATTTCTGCCAACAACAGCACTTAACTTTTCCCTAAGATCAATTACAGATGAAACCTCAATGGCCTTTCTGTATTTATGTTTTAGATGGCTCCTCCTGCAAGCAGATGTGTACAACAGAGAATCTAGATCAACTTCAGTATCCGCTGCTAGCTGTTTAATAGTGTCTTCCATCATCAGGTTGAGAGATTTTGCTGAATTAGCAGACAAGACAAAGTACTTTGGTTGCGTCTCCATAATCCGTTGTCTAGTGGCTGACTGTTTGTGTTGTTTGACAATGGCATGGGCATTTGTCCCCCCAAAGCCAAAGTTGTTCACTCCTGCAATTCTAGCACCAAAGACTTCCCACTTTTCTGTTTCCTTAGGAACTTGAATGTTCAGCATTTTGGCATCTACACTGGCACTGTCTTCAGAGTAGTAAACTGAGGGAACTATAGTCTCATGCTTCATCATTAAGAGTACCTTAATGAGTCCAGCCACCCCAGCTGCAGATTCTGTGTGTCCAATGTTGCCCTTCACTGAGCCAATCTGTAGTATCTCTGAACCAGGAGGTCTGGCTTTAGCAATGACATTTGAGATGCTTGCTGCCTCTATTGGGTCTCCAGCTGGGGTCCCAGTCCCATGTGCTTCTATGTACTGGACATTTGCGAGGTCACCCTCTGAGTAGATTCTTCGCAGCAGCTCCTCTTGTTGAACCATGGAGGGTTTGGTGATTGGTGTGACTGAATGTCCATCTTGGTTGACAGCTGTTTTACTGATGACACCCCAGATATGGTCATGATCTTCTTTAGCCTGTAACGCAACAAAACAAAAATAAAACAAGAAGAGCGGAAGTGAAGGTTGTGATATTTATCCCTGGTCCAAATTATATTAAAAAAAATTGTTTTGGACTTTTAAAGTATTGCTGGAGAGAAACGAGCTACTCAACTACTAGGTTCAGGCTAATATGACATTTATGGGCAAATTCCAGGCTGGTTATTGTTTAAAAGAAACAAAATGTCAACCAGTTAATATCTAACATCTGATATGATCTGATAGTAATAAAACCCACGAAGGAAACTGTAATCCTTATCTGCACACTCTGACCTTTTTCAGAGGCTTCAGGAGAACAACCCCGCAGCCCTCCCCTCTACCATAGCCATCTGCTCTGCTGGAGAAAGGTTTGCTTGTACCCTCAGGTGAGATCATCTTAGCCTTGCTGAGAGCAACAAACACTCTTGGCTCTATTATACAGCTGACACCTCCACAAACAGCCATGTCACAATCACCTGATAAAATAATATATATCATGTATTAATATTAATCTCATTCAGCAGTATTTTAATGCCCTTTTTAACATACAGTATATCCTTGTAACCAGAATGCTTTCCACCAGAGTTAGATTGCTCTAAAAAGTGTCATATTGTTTAGTCAAACATACTGTATACACAGTACAGACCTTGTTTAATGGATTGGCAGGCAAGATGAAGAGCCACAAGAGATGAGGAGCAGGCACAGTCTATGGACAGCGAGGGTCCAGTGAAGTTGAAGATGTATGAGACTCTGTTTGCAGCTATACTCATGGCAAGCCCTGTGCCAGTCCAGTGGTTGATCACACTTGGGTGCACGTGTGCAGCATTTGTTTCATAATCTCTGTTCATTAAGCCTATGATTAAAAAAAACACAAAAACCTGTAGGAAAATTACACATAACATGGTTCAAGGAACAGTAGTAAATATTATATGGAGCCTGAATTTAGATAAGGACTTAATCAAAACAGCATTTTTAGTCAACATGGAACCATTAAATATAACGCACAGCTGTGAGAAGGGCGAACTGGAAACAGGGTTTTACTATTTTACCAAAAAACACTCCGGTCCTGGTCCCACTGGCTTTCTCCATGGGAATTCCAGCATTTTCTAAAGCCCTGTAGACACACTGAAGGAGCTGTTTTTGTTGAGGATCCATTTGTTCCACCTCACTGTCACTGATGCCGAAGAACTTGTGATCAAATTCATTGAACCTGAAAACAGTTTATCAAAACCACTGAATCATTTTAAGTGACTGAGAAATAGTTTTTACACTGTTTATTGTGTGCTTTACTTTTTTAATGACATTTTGTACTAAAAGATAAGGTCTACTTTTTGTGAAAGGTTTAAAACATGAAGATGGCCTTTTGTACACCTCTTGGTTTGTTTAAGTAAATACTACAATTTAAAAATTGGTCTAGAGCTGGGTTTTTGATGTAAATAAAAGCCCTTAGCAGCTGTCCTGTTTTTCTAAAATTTCCCCTATTTACCTCTGCCAAGGCCATCATTGGCATTTTCACTTGATTAGTGATCCTGTGTTAGGTTTAAAAACTATATATTAAAGAGAAAATGATAACACACTATGCTCCCATAAGTTTTTTTTTAATACAAACATTTCATCTCTCCCAAGACAATTAGCATCAGACACATCCCACCCCTGGTGGTAATCTACTACACATTTCAAGAACACACCTGAGTTCATCAAAATCACTGAACATTAGGAAAAGTTAAACAAATATGTTAATATTTCTATCTACATATATTTTTGATACACCATAAAGACAAAAATGCTCAGATGTCTCAATAACCCAGCTTAAGGGGGACACTCTAAAAGTAAAGGCCACAAACAAACGGACACATGGGTCCATTGACAAGTCCAGTCCCACTGGCAGCCATTCATACCCAAGTCATAAGAGAACCACCACGATTAACAGATATAGTGGTAAACGTTTTTCCTTTTTGCATCCAAACTATCCTATTCTTTTTTGTATTATTTTGCTGATTTTTGCTTCACCATTCTATTTGGTTTCTTTGTGGGCTTGTGATCTGTACTCTGGCCTTTGTGTTTTTCAGGCTTCCTCTGACACTAATACATGGAGTAATTAATCCTATCTAAATATGTTATATAATAAAGTTTAAGTAGCACACCCATCAATGAGAGCAGCCTTGGCCGTACGGGATTTCCCCGCTTTGTTGTCATCGGGGTCATACCAGCTGGCTAAGTCAAACCTCTCCTTGGGAATAGTCACAGAACAGTTTCTGCCATCCACCAGAACCTTCCAGAAATTGTCAAGCCCTTCTCCTGTTAGGAAAGACGAAGCAGGATTTTAAAAAATGCCCATTTTTTGTTTTCAGCATTTTGGAACTGCCAGATAACCCTGATTTACAGGCACACAGTTGTGATGAAAAGGTAGAAACTGTTTTATGAAATGAAAGACCAAATTTGGATGCAGTAACATAATGCGATCAAAATTAAATGACACAATCTTTTTCAGTGTCCAGGGGTTAATTGTACTAGCCTGGATGTTCATTAAAGAGATTTTATGTCTCAAGTCAACACATCTGAATTTGTTTATTCCAGAACTCATCTAATATTGTATAAATTATGCAGTTTTTCTTGTTTTTTGAATTAGCTACATTCACAGATATTGTTTATTTTAACACACTGTGAAATCTGCATGTTTTGTCATTAAAATATTAAAACTCAGAAACAAACATATCACAAATCATATGGCTTACCGCCTGGAAAATTGCATCCAATGCCCACCACTGCAATGCTGTCTTCAGCTTCATCCATCCTGACTGAACATCACTGTGAAGAAAAATCAGAAATCTTTACTGTACCATCATGCCAGCATCACTCTTCCTTCCAGGCAAACATCAAGACACAAACATGCTTCTTATTCCATTAAATAGTTTAGTTATGTACCAGAGCACCCTTACATCAGTACCGTTTGCCTTTTCCCTCAGTGATGGTATCACTGCCAGGCTTGCAGCTGGTTCTTATAGCCAGCTTCTATTCTTTATTAAACATTAATGACTGGTTCTATACGTGACCATGGAGATGAAGGACTTCAGTGCACACATTTATGGCACCTTGCAAATAATTAAACAATGTGAGATAAGTACATCAATGTTATCCAACAACAGGGTAACACTAGGTCTTATTTTATTAAATCTTATCACATTAACCTATGTAACAGGACACCAACCACATCAAAAAAGTAATAAAGATTCAGCAACATTATCAGTAGTCATAACACCATGGAACATATGGATTAAAGGATTGGCCTTAATTTATTTCTGATTAGCTTTATCAGCAATTTCACTGAAAATAAACAAAACACACTGTCACATTTTAACACTGTGCTAATAAATGGAGGAGCATCAGAAAGACACTGATAGATTTTGCCATTACTGTATGTTTTAAGTTCCCACTTCCCAGTCTGGTGGTGTACATATGTATTTTATAGCCCTTATCAAACAATGGAAATTGGCACGGCAGCAGATATCAACACAAAATGTATGAAGAGACAGCAACATAACAAAATGGAATTTCCTAAACCTCAAATACTGATCCTTGTAGTTGTCCTATCAATGTGAGTCCTTAGAACATCTTTATACCCAAATAACTTCAAGTAAATAAAAAGCATGTTCAAGCAAAGACAAAAGAAATTACATGATGAACAAATGTAGCATCAGAAACTGGTACAGAAAATCATTCGAGACATGTAAACAACACTGTAGTTTGACCATAATAAATTTTTTTTTCTCTCACCATCAATGAAAAAAGTTCAAAATGTGCAGAAAAATATTTAGGAGTATGGATGTTTCTGTAAATCTGAATTGTAAATTTAACAATAATACACTTAGTATTTCCTCAACTGGCGTACTGTAAAAAAAAATGTTCTGCTCATTATTTATTAGCAGGTAGGTTTAGCAAAGTAAGACACAATAGATCATTTAGAAAAGAAATGCAAAAAAAAAGACTAAACAAAATAATTGTTTAACTCGAGGCTGCCTCATTCCCACGTTATGGAAAGCATACGACAGCTCAGCTCCCACAACTTCTCCGCCAGCTCGTCGTTTTTTCCATCAGCTGAGCAGTTGGCAGGAGCACAGTCGCTGGTGGCAAAGACAAAAGATGCAACTTAAAATTTGAAATGACTTTTAGAACACTCTGGTTGAAACCCTTTAACTTACCTCTCCAAATATTTGATTTGATTTGATTTGATTCATTCATTCAAGCATGTAAAGACAGTTGATATGTCAACACATGTAATTTCACACATATCCAACAAATGCTAATCCAATATCAATTTACTTATACCTAGTACATGCTTGAATGGAGTAGGAAGAAGTCAGACTTATCTAGTCCTACCCCATAACATCATTTTACAACTTTTAAATCCTAAGCAATATCTCTAGATAAATAATTATCCTCTACACCACACAAGTAATATATTATTACAGACTGTTAACATTCTATACATAATTACATTCATAGATAATTATCTTCTACGCCACACAAGTAATATACTAAAGAATTATTACAAAGTGTTAACATTCATACACCACACCCACAATGTTCCATCTAATTAATCATTAAACCTGTTCTTGCATATATCTTGATTGACACATACCTTTATATTTATGTTTAAACTCGTCAATTCTATTACTATTTTTTATGTCAACACTTAAATTATTCCATAGTTTTACCCCACTTATGGAAATACAGAATCTTTTTTTGGTTGTACGTATAGCATGAATTTTTAAATTTAACTGACCCCTTAAATTGTATCCCCCTTCCCTTTCATTAAATAGTTTTTGAATTCCACCAGGTAATAAATTGCTCCTGGCTTTATACATAAACACATCCCTATACTCCATCTTATGCACAATTCTTATCGCTCTTTTTTGTAATATATATAATGGTTGAAGTGAGCTTTTGTATGTATTTCCCCAGTTTTCAACGCCATACTCTAAGTATGGTAAAATCAATGAAGAATACAAAATGCGTAGTGCTTTCCCGTCCAAAATATATCTAACCCTTGCCAATATCGATATATTTTTTGCTATTTTGTGCTGAACATATCTGATATGAGATTTCCAGGAGAATTTGTCATCAACTATGACACCTAGAAATTTAATTTCATATACTCGTTCTATATTAGCTCCCCCAATTTTCAATTGAAGTTCATTATCTAGTCTACGATTCCCAAATACCATAAATTTAGTTTTATCCAAATTCAGAGATAGTATATTACTGTCACACCATTTCTTTATCTTCTCAAGTTCCTATTTACTTTATAACCACACTTTATTATAATTTACTTTATACCTGTGCTATAACTCTATAATGTACACAGTATACGACACCCTCTGACCTTAGATCCTCAAGCGGACAAGGAAATATTCCATAAAAGTCCGTTAATGGAAAAAAAAGAAGTTTTATTTCATTTTATCGGTGTCTGTTGGAAGATTTCAATGGGAGGAAGTTCTTCCTGATCTCAATCAAAGGTCTAAATACAAAGGCTGTAAAGCCCTGGGATAAACTTATGATTTTGGCTATATAAATAAATTGCACTTGGTAAATTATTTTTTAATGCAGTTTGGTCAGTCTTGCATTATTCAATGTGTACAGACCCTGACAATGGCAGAGCTTAGTGAGTGAGTACTTCTGCAGCTGCTCTGAGGAGATGATGACAAAATGCACTGTGGGGCCGTGGTTACCTTCTATTGTAATGCACACTGGCTGACACACAAAAAAAAACAAAAAAAAACAACAAAGGTTTGACTAGAAGAGTCTCAGTCGCCTGAAGATACAAGTAGTCAACTTTCAGGGGGCAGCCCTGTACTCTACTGTATGATGGACTCCAATATGTATCTCTGTTTAGCTGTGATTATGTTTGTAAAAACTAAGTGTACCTGTAGTATCCACCGCTCTCCTTCACCAGCGATGGTTCCACCGCACAGTAAATTGTTGTCTGAGCTCCCTGGACAGAGGACTTGGTGAAGGGACTGATGATCTTCATGAGGAACTGCTGAGGGCCATTCAGATGACGGTATAAATCTGTCTGAATGACTCCAGGGTGGAGAGAGTATGTTGTCACACTTGTGCCTGCAAAAACAAAGTGAGTAATTGAATAACATTTGAGGGAAATAGAATAAAAAGTACTTTTGGACTAGAAACCCAGATGCTCAAAAGAAAAAAACCCTTTTTAATTGCTAAAATGATAGCAATGAGGATATGATTCACACCTTCTAGTCGTTTAGCCAGTGAGCGGGTGAAGAGGATGTTGGCTAACTTGCTCTGGGCGTAAGCTTTACGCTTGTCATAACTCTTTTCACTGTTGATGTCTTCCAGATTGATGGAGCTCCAAGAGTGAGCCATAGAAGACACACTGATAATCCGGGCTGGCGCTGACCTTTTAATCAGGTCAATCAACAAATGTGTCAACAAGAAGTGACCTGGAGAACAAGGGAGCACGACTTTGAAATTGAGAGCTTGAAAACTTAGAAAAAAGACATTGTATTAGAGATCTTACAGAGGCCACTTTAACTGTGTGATTAAAGAAAGATTTACCTGTGAATCACACATTATTCAATTTTTTTTCTCACAACACAGATAACATGGTTTTATTTACCCATGTGATTGACACCGATCTGCAGCTCAAAGCCGTCTGCTGTTTTCCCATAAGGACACATCATCACACCAGCATTGTTGATGAGGATGTTGACTTTTGGCTCTTCTGTAGAAAAGAGCAATAAGAGGTAAAACACTGTCTTTAAAATCCCTTTGTACAGCCCTTTGTATGTACAGCTTTATATTAAACAATAAGGTTTACCTTTGTTGATGGTTTCAGCAAATTCTCTTATTGACTTGATGTCTGACAAGTCAAGTTTCTTGCACAGAACATTTTCGCTGCCTGACTTTTCGATGACTTCTTTCACAGCAGCTTCTGCTTTCTCCATGTCCCTGCATGCCATGATCACCTTTGCCCCTACACAGAAAAATAAACAGGAGTAAGACAACAGCATAAGAAATGTCTGTATAAACCTACTGGTTACGTGTATGCATGCACAGACAGTCAATACAAGTGGCGTTGTGGGTTAATGGGTGAGCAGCACCCTCTCGTGGCATCACTGATACATAACTATTGCAGTTAGATCTTCCTTAAGGACTGTGAAACTACAAGATAAATAACTTATTGTTACTGACAGGTACTGTTGTCACAACACAATGTGCTAAATTAAAAAAAAACTAATCTGAATGTTGTTTTGTATCTGTAAATCATTTAATTGGAAAAAAGTTCCAAAATTTATGTAATTCACCTCTTCACTTATTTTTGTGTCAAAAAGCAAATGCATGCAAAAATGTGTTGCAGTTTACTTTTTCAGAAAAGTATTTTAAAACCTTCCATACTTTACTGTGTATCTTTTTGATACTCAGGGGTACTAGAGATGGCCAGCTCCAATTACAAATTTTTAAGTCCCATTTTCTATATTTTCCAGTTAACTTTCTATTGAGCTTAATATGTGAATTTGGGTATTTAGAAGGCACACAGCATAAATCCAATTTGAATTTGAGGAATCTGTCATGTTTTTATAAAGAAGAAAGGGCACTGCTATGGAAATAAATGTTGTTTTTCTATTAGTACAGACACTGCACCATATAAAATAATGCTGAATGCAACTGGTAGAACAACTAAGAGGACATCTGTATTCCTCATATATGAATCTAGACACAAACACATTGTCTTACAAGGAAATAATAACGGGATGTGCTGTCTATAACTATTGGGTAATACAGCAGCAACTGGTACAACAACCATTACGACATCTGCATTCCTCATATTTGAATCTAGACACCAACACATTGTCTTACAAAGAAATAACAGAGAGATGTACTGTGTGTAACTCTTGGGCAATACAGCAGCCAGTTACTGACACATATGATGCAAGTAATCATGACAAAGCAAAAAAGTTAGGTCTCCTTCAAGTTGATGTGTGGATTGGAAAAAGCTGCAACTGAAACCTAGAAAACTGTAGCTTCAGACCGACCTCTTTTCGCCAGGTCGATGGCTGTCTCTTTGCCAATCCCCGTGTTGGCACCGGTGATGACCACAGTTTTACCATCAAGCCGTTCAGGAGAAGACCAGGAACACCGGAAGGCATTTCTGAGATTTTGAGAAATCACTGTTAACTAGCTCAATCAGGAGAATGAGTGTTTTAAAGCAGACTTAACCGTTACTACAAAACATACGATAGTCTGTTCTCACAGAAAATGTTCATCACCAATTGTTTAGCCATTAACTTGTTTATACGACAATTAATTATCTGTCAAAATTGGGCTGTATTTATCACCGCATTAAATAAACGGGCTAGCATATTTTCATGAACATCACATTCCTTACCTTAACGTTTGCATCTCACTTCACTACAGTGGTCAGGCCGGCTGAAATAACACAAGAGAAGCTGAAAACAATCTTA